GGACACGGGGGGGACACGGGGCTGGGACAGCAGGGACAGTCAGAGGACACAGGAGGGACACGGGGTCGGGACAACAGGGACAGTCAGGGGACACGGGAGGGACACGGGGATGGGACATGGGGACAGTCAGGGGACATGGGAGGGACACGGGGATGGGACATGGGGACAGTCAGGGGACACAGGAGGGACACGGGGCTGGGACACGGGGACAGTCAGGGGACACGGGGCTGGGACAGTAGGGACAGTCAGGGGACACAGGAGGGACACGGGGATGGGACATGGGGACAGTCAGGGGACATGGGGGGGACACGGGGCTGGGACATGGGGACAGTCAGGGGACACGGGGCTGGGACAGCAGGAACATGGGGACAGTCAGGGGACACGGGAGGGGACACGGGGCTGGGACATGGGGACAGTCAGGGGACACGGGGGGGACACGAGGCTGGGACAGCAGGGACATGGGGACGGGGGTAAGGGAGAGAGTGGGGACAGTACTGGGACAGAAAGGGACATGGGATGGGGAGGGGGACACAGGATAGGGGACAGTGCTGGAACAGGAGGGGACATGGGGACAGTCAGGGGACACGGGAGGGACATGAGGGGACAGTGGTGGGACAGTATGGGACACAGGATGGGGTAAGGGATGTGGTGGGGACAGTAGGGGACACAAGGGGACATGGGGACAGTGTTGGTACAGAAGGGGACATGGGGACAGTGTTGGTACAGAAGGGGACATGGGATGGGGAAGGGGACACGGGATAGGGGACAGTGCTGGGACACAGAGGAACATGGTGAGGGGCACAGAGGGGACAAAGACAGGACACAGGGGACATGGATGGGACAGAGGGGACACAGACAGGACACAGGTGACACTGAGGGGACACAGGTGACAGAGGGGACTCACAGTGGGGGCTGCTCTGGTAGAAGTGGCCCATCTTGGCCATGAACTTATGCAGTGCTGGGACACAGAGGGGACACAGGACAGGACAGGGGACACACAGGGGACACAGAGGGGACACAGGGACACAGAGGGGACACAGGGGACTCACGGGGGGGCTGCTCTGGTAGAAGTGGCCCATCTCAGCTGTCAGTTTGTCCAGCTGCAGGCTCCGTGTGCCCAGCAGTTGGATCCAGAAGTGCCCGGGACTCTCGGCCGCCGACACGTAAACATCCAGGTGCTCGTCAGCAGGGAAACTGAAATCTGGGCTGGGCACTGTGGGAGCAGGGAAATTCACTGAAATCCACTGAAATCCACCCAAATCTACTGAAATCTGCCCAAAACCCACTGAAATCCACCCAAAATCTACTGAAATCTGCCCAAAACCCACTGAAATCCACCCAAATCCATTGAAGTATACCTAAATTCCACTGACATCTACCTGAAATCCACCGAAAACCCATTGAAATCCACCCCAAAACCCACTGAAATCCACCCCAAAATCCACTGAAATCTACCCAAAATCTACTGAAATCTGCCCAAAACCCACTGAAATCCACCCAAAATCTACTGAAATCTACCCAAAATCCACTGAAATCCACCCAAATCCATTGAAGTATACTTAAAATCCACTGACATCTACCTGAAATCCGCCCAAAATCTACCTGAAATCCACGGAAATCTACCCAAAATCCACTAATATATACCCAAAATTCACTGACATCTACCCAAAATCCACTGAAATATACCCAAAATCCACTGAAATCCACCCAAAATCCACTGAAATCCGCCAAAATCCACTGAAATCCACCCAAAATCCACTGAAATCCGCCCAAAGTCCACTGAAATCCACCCAAAATCTACCTGAAATCCACGGAAATCTACCCAAAATCCACTGAAATCCGCCCAAAACCCACTGAAATCCGCCCAAAATCCACTGAAATCCACCTAAACCCCACTGAAATCCACCCAAAATCCACTCAAACCCCACTGAAATCCACCCGCTCTCACCCTCGAACTTGGCCACGGGCGGTTCCTCGCTGCCGTCCCCGCGCTCCCCTCCCGCATCCCGGGGCTCCTCACTCCCCATCATCTCCGCCTCCGCCCCGTCGCTCCCCCGCCGCCGTTCCCGCGCCGGCCGCCGGTGCCCATTCCGCATCCCAGCACTCCTGCCATCCCCCGGGGCTGCCGGGGGCACCGGCGGGCGGCACCGGCGGCTCCCGGCGGCTGCCCAGGGGCTGCTTCCGCGGGCCCGGCGCAGCGCTTTGTCCTCGACAGCTTCTCCATGATCAGCTTCTACCGGGGGCACCGGGAGGATGATGAGGACGGTTCCCGGGGCGGGGGTGGGGGATGAAGGAGCCGCCCCGAAAGCGGCGAGCCGCGCTCACCTTGGCCGCCTCCACCTCTTTGCGCGTCCCCAGCAGGCGCACGATGCGCAGCGGGGCCAGGCCGGCGTCGGGCTCGTGGCCGCACTCAACGCGAGCCCCCGAGCTCCGGGAGATGGCCCGGACGGTCTCCCCTCCGCGGCCTGGGGGCACCGGGAACGGCCCGGAGGGGAATGAGGGGCGGGGGGGGGGAACGGGGAGAGGGGGCTTGGGGTGGTGGTCAAAGGGAATGAGGGGGGAATGGGGAGAGGGGGTTTGGGGTGGTGGTGAGAGGGGATGAGGGGAATGAGGGGAATGAGGGGGAAAGGGGGTTTGGGGTGGTGGTCAAGGGAATGAAGGGCGGGGGGCAACGGGGAGAGGAGGTTTGGGGTGGTGGGTCAAGGGGAATGAGGGGAATGAGGGGGAAAGGGGGTTTTGGGGTGGTGGTGAAAGGGGATGAGGGGAATGATGGGCGAGGGGGTTTGGGGTGGTGTCAAAGGGAATGAGGGTTGGGGGAAAAGGGGGTTTGGGGGTGGGAAGGGAGTTTGGGATTGGGGTTCCCCCAGGATTTGGGGTGTCCCTGTGGCTATGGAAGGTTCCCTGCAGGATTTGGGGATACAGAAGGTTCCCCCAGGATTTGGGGTGTCCTTATGGCTACGGAAGGTTCCCCACAGGATTTGGGGATACAGAAGGTTCCCTCCAGGTTTTGGGGGTGGTCCCCATAACAATGATCCTGCTCATGGCCTGCTGGGGCACACAGAGCTGCTCGGTACCCTGGGATTTGGGGTGTCCCTGTGGCTATGGAGGATTCCCCCCACAGGATTTGGGGCTGTGGGAGGCTTTGGGGTGCCCCGTACCAATGATCCTGCCACGGGATTTGGGGGTTCCCTTGTGATTTGGGGTGCCCCAGGGGTACAGAAGCTCCCCCCAGGTTTCGGGGTGCCCCGTACCGATGATCCTGCCCACGGCATTTGGGGTTCCCTTGTGATTTGGGGTGCCCCAGGGGTACAGAAGGTTCTCCAGGGTTTCGGGGTGCCCCGTACCGATGATCCTGCCCACGGCCCGCTGGGGCACGCGCAGCTGCTCGGCCACGGGGGCGCTGTCGGCCACGATTCGCAGCACGGCCGCCCTGGCCCGGCACACCTGGCCCGGCGAGCCCGAGATCTGCACCAGGGACTGCCCCCCTTCCTCCTCCTCCTCCTCCTCCTCCACCTCGATCTGCGCTCCCGTCTCCTGCCTCAGCTGCGGGGATACCCCGTGCTCCTGGTATTCCCAGTGCCCCCAGTGCTCCCAGTGCTCCCAGTTCCCCCAGTGCTCCCAGTGCCCCCAGTGCCCCCAGTGCTCCCGGTGCCCCCAGTGCTCCCAGTTCCCCCAGCACTCCCAGTGCCTCCAGTGCCCCCAGTGCTCCCAGTGCTCCCAGTTCCCCCAGCACTCCCAGTGCCCCCCAGTCCCCCAGTGCTCCCAGTGCTCCCAGTGCTCCCGGTGCCCCCAGTGCTCCCAGTTCCCCCAGTGCTCCTGGTGCCTCCAGTGCCCCCAGTGCTCCCAGTGCCCCCAGTGCTCCCAGTGCTCCCGGTGCCCCCAGTGCTCCCAGTTCCCCCAGCACTCCCAGTGCGCCCAGTTCCCCCTGCATTCCTATTGCTCCCAGTGCAGCCAGTTCCCCCAGTGTTCCCAGTTCCCCCAGCACTCCCACTTCCCCCAGTCCCCTCAGCACTCCCAGCACTCCCAGTGTTCCCAGTTGCCCCCACCTGGTTGATGGTGGCTCCCCGGCGGCCGATCAGTGATTTCAGGGCCGTGCGGGGCACCCTGACCGCCACCTCCAGCCCCTCGTCTGCCACCAGTGTCACCTGCGCCTCTGAGGGGACAGCGGGGACACGGCTGGGTCCCCAAGGGGGCACCGAGGGGCCGGGACCCCCCCCGGGGTGGGGGGGTGACAAACAGGGTACAGAGAATTCCCAGTGGGAAAAGTGACTCCAAGGGAACCCCACTTCCCAGGGGGTACCCAGAGGGTCCCCGGGGTGTCCCCAGAGGGTCCCAAAGGGGACAGGGACCTCCCTGGGGAGCTCACAAGGTAATTCCCAGTGGGAAAAAGCGACTCCGAGGCCCCGAGGGAGCTCCCGGTGGTACCGGGGGGGGTTGAGGCCAGGCCCCGGTGTGAAACACGCACCCACCTCGGCTCTCCCGGTAGCGCCGGTACAAGATGTAGAGCACGGTGGCGGCGGCCGGGACGCCCAGGAGCAGGGCGGTTTTCTGCAGGCTGCTCAGGCTGTGCACGGGGGCCGCGTCCCGCCATCGCCGGCTGCGGACGGGCTTACCGGGCTTTACCGGGCCGTTACCGGGGGATTACCGGGAGCCCACCGGGAGCTCCCGGTGGGGCCGGGCCGCGCTGCGCTCCCCACCCTGGGGACTCCCCACCCGTACCCTCACGGAGGGCTCGGCTCCAGGCGCGCCGGTGCAGGCCCCGGGCCCGGTGCAGCGGCAGCGGAGCCCCCGCAGCCGCCTCGGCCGCCGCCCCCCGGTGGTCTCACGGGTACCTGCAGGTGCCGGGGCCGCCCCCCGGCCCCGTAGCGACCCCGGTTCGGCCCGGCCCGGCCCCGAAAGGCCCCCGATTCGGGCCCGGCCCCGGTTCGGGCCCGGTGCGGCCCCGGTGCCGCCGCCGCCTCCCGCGCCCCGCCGCTGGCCCCGCCTCCTCCCGTCTCCACCAATCACATCGCGGCACCTCCCCTTCCAGCCAATCACAGCGCGACCTCGCACCGCTCCCACCCAATCACCGCCTGCGGAGCCGCGCCCAATCCCCGCGAGACCTCCCACATGCGGGGGCGGGAAATAACGGGAATAAAGCAACCAATCGGCGGCGAGTAGAGGAGAGGTGAACCAATCAGAGAGCCAGAAAATCCGAATGCCCGCCTCCTTGTTTTGAGTGACAGGCACAGCAGCCTATAGAAACTCGGAGCGCTGCGCGTGGCGGGACTCTAACGCCGCTGCAGGTGTCCCCGCGCGTCCCCCGTGACGGAGTCCACGACACGCGGTCCCCAAAAACGCCTTTATTCCCCTCAAACGCCGCCGCATTTCTCGGAAGGTGCCTGGGGGGGAGCATCCCCAGGTGTCCTCAGATGCAGGGGCGCTCCCGGTAATCCCGGGGATCCCGGTGTCCCGGTGGTCCTCGGGTGGCGCTCAGCGGGTCCCCGCGGGGCCATCGGCGGGGTCGGGGGCGAAGAGCTCCCGGTAGAGCGGCGGGAAGGCGGCCGAGACCCCCGCGGGGTGCAGGCGGCGGAAAGCCTGAACCTGCTCCAGGTGCTGCGAGCACAGAGCGCGGAGCCGGCCCGGGGCGGGCAGCTGCGGGGACACGGCTGTCACCGCGGGGGACAAACGGGGACACCGTGGGGACAACCGGGAGGGACACACGTGACACATGTGCAGGGAACCCTCCGACCCAGGGCCACCCCCAATGTCCCCAAACCCCCACCCTGCTCCCCCCGTGACCCCCACGGATCCCCATGTCCCCTCCCCGGTGTCCCCATGTCCCCTCCCCGGTGTCCCCGTGTCCCCTCCCCGGTGTCCCGGTGTCCCCACCCGTGGCAGGAGCCCCTCGCGGCGGGTCCGGCGCAGCAGCAGCCGGAAGGCGACATCGAGCTGGCCCTGCAGCCGCGCCACCCGCGGGCGGTCCTGCAGCCACGGCCGGCCTGGGGACAGCGCGGGGACACGGACACGGTGTGGGGACAGGGACAGGGACAGGGTGTGGGGACAGGGACAGGTGTGGGGACAGCACGGGGACACGGACACGGTGTGGGGACAGGGACAGGGACACGGACAGGGCATGGGGACGGGGATAGGGACAGGATATGGGGACAGGGGCAGGGAACGGACAGGACGTGGGGACATGGACAGGGGTGTGGGGACAGGGACAGGGATGTGGGAAGAGGGACAGAGGTTTGGGGACACCCTGGGGGCACCCTAGGGACAGTGTGGGGGGACACTGTGGGGACATCTTAGGGACACCTTGGGGGAGACCCTGGGGACATCTTAGGGACACCCTAAGGACACCTTAGGGACAGCTTGGGGACACCCTGGGGGCACCCTAGGGACAGTGGTGGGGGACACCCTGGGGACATCTTAGGGACACCTTAGGGACAGCTTGGGGACAAACTTGGGGACACCCCCGCCGCCCACCCCCGCTTAGGGACAAACCCCATTTGGGGTTAGGGGAGCGCGCGGGGAGGGACAAGGGGACACGGGGTGGGGGACACGGAGCGGGACAGGGGGTGCGGACGCCGGGGGGACACTGAGCAACACTTGGGGACACTTGGGGACACTTGGGGACAGTGGCTGACCGGCGTTGAGCAGCAGCAGCGCGCTCAGCAGCGCCAGCTCGCTCTCGGAGCAGCGCAGCGCGCTCAGCCCCCGCGCGAACTCAAAGACGGACGCGACGAGCTCGGGACACCCTGGGGACAGCGCGGCGTCACCGCTGTCCCCAAGCGTCCCCCCGCGTGTCCCCAGCCCGTGTCGCCGCCCTACCCAGCGAGCGGAAGAGCTCGGGCCCCGCCAGTTTGCCCTCGAACAGGACCGTGCCGGTGGCGGCGTCCGAAGGCGCGGCACATCCGGAGCAGGACAACCTCCATGGCCCCTGTCACCGCGGCGGGGAGGCGACAGCGCGGCTGGCACCGGCGACACCGCCGCCGGCCACAGGGGGTGCGGCGGGGACGCCGCGGGGGTGGCCCCGGGCGGTGTCACCTCGGCAGGGAGGGTGGAGGGGGATTTTGGGGACTGTCACCTCCCCCTGGGACGCACGGGATTGTCACTTCCCCCGTGGGACACAGGGATTGTCACAAGGACACAGGGTGGCCCTTGGGTTGGGGATAGTGAGATGGGATAGCCCTGGGGCTGGGGACAAGGGACAGAGTGCCCCTAGGGCTGGGGACAATGCCACAAGGGGGATAGGGTGGCCCTGGGGCTGGGGACAATGGGGTGGGTGTCCTTGGCCTGGGGACAGTGAGATGGGGTGGCCCTGGGGCTGGGGACAATGGGGTAGGGTGGCCCTGGGGCTGGGGACAATGAGGTGGAGTGGCCCTGAGGGTGCTGACAATGGGGTGGGGTGGCCCTGGGGGTAGGGACAAGGGGCCGGGGCATCCCTGCGAGTGTGCACCAGGGCCCTGGGGTGGTGACAGTGACATGGGGACACATGGGTGGCCGCGTACCCCGCCTTGAGCAGGACGATCTGGTCGTGCTGGCTGAGCTGCAGGAAGCCCCGCAGGCGCTTGGCAAACTCCACCACGCGCTCGATGGCCTCGGTGACACGGCGGGCACAGCGCTGCCACATCTCCGCCATGGGCTGCGCCAGGGAGCGGCTGTCACCCCCCCCGCGCCACCGCTGGGGACAGCCGTGTCACCCCCCCGCGCCACCGCTGGGGACAGCCGTGTCACCTGCACCACCCTTGGGGACAGCCGTGTCACCCACGCGCCCTTGGGGACAGCCGTGTCCCCTGCCCGGCCCGCACCTGGCTCTGGTAGGCGCGGATCTCCTCGGGGCTGAAGGTGGCCCAGCGGTGGCCCTGGAGGTCCTCGGCACAGGGGTGGCACGTGGCACGGTGTGACAGCAGGACACTCTGTGTCAGCAGCTCTGAGGGGACACAGGGGTGGCACAGTGTGACAGCAGGACACAGGGGTGACAGCAGGACACTGTGTCAGCAGCTCTGAGGGGACATTCAGGGCTTGGGGACAGGTGTGGGGACAAGGAGGGTGGCCCGGTGTGTGGCCTTGGTGGGTAAGGAGTCACCAGCGTGCTGGCATCCACGGGTGACAGAGCCGGTGCCACCACCACGGAGCATCCACAGGTGACATCCCGAGGTGCCACCAGCCCCGCAGGTGACACCGCCAGCCCCGCAGGTGACAGTCCCCGGTGCCACTCACCGATCTCCAGCCCCGCGGGTGACTCCGGGACGCCGCCGGCACCGGGCTGAGGCACCGGCCCTGTCCCCGCTGTCCCCGCCCTGTCCCCGTCCTGTCCCCTCCTTGTCGCCTCCTCCGCGGGCCACGCCCTGCTGGGACAGCCCGCGGGGACAGCGTGGGACAGCGGGGACAGCGCCCGGCCGGGAGCGGCTGCGGTGGCACCGGGGCCCGCCCGTTCCTGCTCCCGTTTTTTCCCATTTTTCCCGGTTTTCCCGCGTTTCCGGCTGTTCCAGCTGCTCCCGGGTTTGTTCCCGGGTTTGTTCCCGGTTTTCCCGGGTTTGTTCCCGGGTTTCCCCGGTTCTTTTCCCCGCTTTTCCAGCTGTTCCAGCACCTCGGCCTGCAGCCGGTCCCGCTGCTTCTTGGACATGCGGCCGAACTTGACGGCTGCGGGGACAGAGGGGGACAAGAGGGGACAGCGGGTGACACCGCAGCGCCACACGCGTGTGGGGACACCGAGCAGCCCCGGCCCTTCCCCAGGGACACCTCGGGCTGTCCCCAGGGCAGTGACAGCGACAGGTGGCACAGGGACAAGGGACAGGTGTCCCCAGGTGGCGCAGGGACAAGGGACAGGTGTCCTCAGGGGATGGGACGCGTGTCTGCAGCTTTGGGGGACAGGTGTCCCCAAATGTGGGGACACCAGGGGTGGGTCCAGCTGTCCCCAGGGGCACAGAGTGGTGTCTCCAGAGGTATAGATTGATGTCCCCAGGGTCACAGAGCAGTGTCCCCCGGGGTTACAGCTGTCCCCAGGGGTCACAGGGGAATGTCCCTAGTGGGTACAGATGTCCCCAAGGGTACAGATCATTGTCCCCAGGGCCACAGGGCGATGTCCCCAGGGGATCCAGGTGTCCCCAGGGGCACAGAGCGGTGTCTCCAGAGGGTACAGATGTCCCCAAGGGCACAGAGTGATGTCCCCAGGGGCAACAGATGTCCCCAGGATCACAGGGCAGTGTCCCCAGGGGGTTCTAGCTGTCCCCAGGGTGAGAGGGCAATGTCCCCAGGGGGTTCAGGTGTCCCCAGGGCACAGAGCGGTGTCTCCAGAGGGTACAGATGTCCCCAGGGGCACAGAGCGATGTCCCCAGGGGTTACAGCTGTCCCCAGGGTGACAGGGCGATGTCCCCAGGGGGTTCAGGTGTCCCCAAGGGCACAGATCCATGTCCCCAGGGGTTACAGCTGTCCCCAGGGTGACAGATCGATGTCCCCAGGGAGGTCTAGCTGTCCCCAGGGGTTACAGCTGTCCCCAGGGTCACAGGGCAGTGTCCCCAGAGGCACAGATCAATGTCCCCAGAGGGTACATCTGTCCCCAGGGACACAGATTGATGTCCCCAGAGGCCCAGATCAACGTCCCCAGAGGGGTACATCTGTCCCCAGGGACACAGATTGATGTCCCCAGAGGCCCAGATCAATGTCCCCAGAGGGTACAGCTGTCCCCAGGGGCACAGATCGCCGTCCCCAGGGGCACAGAATGGTGTCCCCGTGGACAGTCCCCGGTGTCCCTGGGCTGGGTGGCGGCTGTCCCCGCGCTGTCCCCGCAGTGTCCCCGCGCTGTCCCCGCAGTGTCACTCACCGTCGCGGGACATGCCGAGGCGCAGGCACTTCTGCAGGCGGCAGTGCTGGCAGCGCGTGCGGGTGGCGCGGTCGATGTCACAGCGCTGCCCGCAGGTGACCACGCCAGGCTCGGCCCGCGCCGCTCGCTGCGCCGGAAGAAGCCCTGGGGTGGCGCCGTGTCACGCGTGTCACCGGCGTCACCCGTGGTGCCCCCACGGCCACCCATGGCACCCCCCTGTCCCCACACGTCCCCCCGTGTCCCAATGTCCCCTCCATGTCCCTTTGCTCCCCAAGGTCCCCATGTCCCCTCTCGTGTCCTCGT